AGCAAAAAGGCCTTTATGCCTATTACCACATTAAGAAATTTGTTCCATGGCTTCTTTATTCCTTTACACTTATTCATTGGTTCCAACTATTCATGATTCTCTGGGTGATAACAAGAAAGTAAAAACTACCTGTATTAATCCATCTCTGTAGGCTTGCAGTACTGCTGCTATTATGGCACAGGGTATAAATCAGGTTGTCTGTACACAGAAACTTCTTCTGTTCCAGTTAATTCTTCTCTCTTGATTTAGAGAACTTCACAGAATTTCTGACAGTTGGTGAGGATATTCATGAATTTGTTGCTGAGTTGAAAGAACCGGGAAAATATACAGTATCCGTTACAACGTTTAGCTCCTCTGGCTTATGTGAAATTCGGGAAAGCCGATCTGCCAAAACACTCAGTTTTTACATTAGTAAGTATAAGTGGAGGACCCCCTGAGGACTCTTGGGGGATCTCATTTCCATGTTGCTTCTGTGATTTAAAGGTTTTACAACCTTACAATGTATTTCTTTTAATGTTTGACATTTTTTCTGCAAACCTGGGACTTCCACCAAACTTGGGGGGGGGGAAGTGTATGATCCATGCATGGCCCCACGATACGGATTTTTTGGTCCTCATTCTGAGCTATTGTCGAGAACTAGATATAATGATATGTATGGTCATGATGTCACTGATATGTGTAGATGGAGGAAGGGCAAATAATTGAATTAATAAATACTAGATGAAAGGAGGAAAAATCCCCTTACCAGTCCCCAGGTGGGGGTGGGGGATCCCCTGCTTTTATGGGTTCCTGCCCACCACTTCTGGAAATGACATCATCGTGTTGGCGATGTCAGGGGCGACACTCTACTTTTTGGGCAGAAGTCTATGGTTTGTAGTCATTTTTACCATAGTGTTTTGCTCAAAAGGTAGAGTGTCTCCCAGACGTTGCCATCGTGATGACATCACTTCCAGAAGTGACATCATTGCGTCTCCACCATCCCTGCCCCCCCCAAGCCGCTCACTGGCACAAGGTAGGCACCTGGCAACCCTACACCTGCTACTGGAAGTACTTTTAGCTGGAGCCAGTGATGGATCCTGGGATCTTCTGCGTTTAAACCAGGCGCTCTCTCACTAAGCCTTGGCCCTCCTGCTGACTAGATGCGAAGCTGTCTTTTACTGAGTCAGACCACTGGTCCGTCAAGACCAGTATTGTCCACTCTGAAAGCCAGCAGCTTTCCAGAATCTCAGGCAGAGGTCTTTCACATCATCTATTACCTGACTCTTTAATTAGAGATGTTGTGGATTGAACCTGGTGTTGGCAGAGTTTAAACATGCAGAGGAGTTGAGCACCAACTGTTTAAAGAAAATAACTTGGTTTATTAAAGAAGAAATGAACAGAGGAGAGGGAGAGAGGCTTAACAAACTAACTAACTGCTGTGAGAGACAGGAACAAAGGGGGAGAGGGCTCAGTTGGAGCAGGAGGTCTCCAAAGAGCCAATCAGGAGACAGGAAGGGCATAATTTGAAATTGTGGGAAGTCCCTAATCTAGCTATGCGAACTGTCCCCTGTAGGCTATTCTTCTGATCTCTTCAAGTAGGTGCACTATAGACCTTGTATATTCTAACACCTGGGATTTTCTATGTGTCAAGAAGGCATAGGGCTGCCAAATCGGCCCGGGGGGCGGGGAAACCCCCGCTTTGGAGGCCCGATTTCCGCCGTGGTGGAATCGGGCCCCGGGGGGGTGCACGTGATGTGCCTGGCATCAGCACGTCACCCGGAAGTGACACAGCCACGCTGGGCACGCCGGGGGCGGGGCCACAGCCATACAAGGGAAAACTCGATGGTTTTGCCTTGTATGGCCGTGGCCCCGCCCCCAGCATGCCCAGCGTGCCTATGTCACTTCCGGGTGATGTGCATGCGGTGCGCGCGTGTGCTTTGTGCGCACGCACTCACCCGACGCCGGCCGGGAGTCTCCCGCTCCCGGCGAAGAATTATTTGACAACCCTAAGAAGGTACTATTACCACTGAGCTACAGCTCCTACCCAGGTTTTCCACACAATCTCTTTGCATTTAGATAATTTGTATTTAAGTAGTAGGTGATGTGAAAGGCCTCTGCCTGAGATCCTGCAGTGCCACTACCAATTGGAGGAGACAGTACTGACCTTGATGGACCAATGGTCTGGTTCAGTATAAAGAAACGTCTTGTGTTCATGAGGTAGATAAGTAGGATGGTGGAGGAGAATGTTTCCAACCTACCTCCTTTTCAGTCTCTCCCCTCTCTTAAGTACAAGGAGGATCATACTGGGGAGAAGCTGAATATGTTACCTTAATGTAGTGACGCTCCTTAGAGGAAGGAATGTGATAAACTGTCATTCACACTTATACTGCATCTCTAATTAGCAGGTGTTGTTGAGACACATGTTTGCAAATGAAGGTGTGTGGCTGAGTCTCATGTTTACAGACATAAACCCTTCTCCACCTGTCCATACTTAATATTCAGCCTTTTCATATGTCACAACTACGTGTACCAGGAGGCCACCAACAGGACTGTGTACTACTTGCCGTGGTCCCAATATGCGCGGTCACCTTTTTGTGTGAACAGGGCAGTTCTTCTTCATGTATACCAAATCTATACATACACGGAAAATCCATGTCTTGCCCTGTTCACAAGAGAATTGCTAACAGACCTGGCGAAAAATGTCTTGTCCCACTAATTAGAGCAGAGGCATCAAGCTCATTTGTTACAATGTCACTTTGTCAGGCTGGGTCATGTGTGCCATAAACACAATGCCAGGTACCGGAGATTTAAACTTTATAAAGGACAGCAGCTGGTAAGCTCCAAGTTGGTGTATCCTCACTGCAAGGCCCCATTGGCTGGGAGGGGGGTGCAAAGGAAAACCCACACGGGCAGACTGGAGAGCCTGTGGTGCATCACTGGGCAGATGCTCCCACGCTGCTTGACTGCTGCAGGTGAGGTTGTTCCACCATGCTGAAGCCACAATCGGAGTGGCTCTGCCCACTCCCCCCTGAGCAGTCTCCTGTTCCCTCCCTTGCACTAGTTGCTCGTGGGCCGTATAAGAGCCCTGGGCAGGCCTTATGTTTGACACCCCTGAATTGGAGGCTGATTGAGACGTTATTAGCCAGGTGATGTTGTTTACATCCACGCCATGAAAAGATCCGGCTGCCCATTTCCACACATTAAGCTTCTGTTAAAGAGATAACACGTTTTTTTCTCCACACCTGCTGGTTACCCTATACACAAGAAATGGTGACCATGCATATAGGCAGCATAGTATATAGTACACATTCCCATAGAAGAGCTCCCATTACCTGTGGTTGTGACTCTTGAAAAGGACTGATTTGCTGTATATGTTTGGTTTTTTAAAAAATGAAAGTGTGAGAATTGGCCCGCTGCATGGGCGAACCACCCTTTGATGGTGACGGCCATCTCCTTCTGGTGGTATTTTAGGTCCAACGGGAGAATGGATAGAAGAGCTGACCGAGAAGCCTCGAAATGTCATGGTGACTGTGCTGAGTCCCACCACGGCTTCATTATCCTGGACATCTTCACCAGAGACCAGCGGCAGCAACCACACAATTGTCTCCATCGTGTCCTTGACGTGCCAGAAACAGAAGGAGAGCCAGAGACTCGAAAAGCATTATTGCACCGAGGTAAGAGACAGAAAATGTTCTCTCCTTTAATGGTGACTGGGGGAAGGGGGACACAGACACAAAGACGGCTGTGGGAGCTGCGTTCACTGGGGCAGGCCAAACACAATGGCGACCGTATTTCAAAACTCTTCAGCCCGACTGCAAAGAAAATGGAGTGCGGAAATCTCAGCAGATGTATGGAGCTTTCTAGTGTCTAGGCACAGAATTGCCTTGTGCTATTTTGTCTCGGCTTTTCTAACTCGCCCATTAAGCAAAAGGTTATGAGCTTTCAATTGTGGGGAAATGCGAACAGTCTTGTTCCCCTCTCCACATAGAGAGCAAGATGAGTATAGCAGAGACACAGAGACTTTTGAGCTTGACTGTATACTATGTATTCAGAGTGGGGAAGAGAGAGAGGGGTACGAACTCAGAATGTGTAAGAAAAATAAGCACGTCTATGCCCACCTTGAGTCGGGCCGTAGACCAGAGTTCTTGCAGATCCTTGCTGCAAACTGGCAGAAACTGTTTGACAGCTCTAACTGTCACAAATGTCATCGGACAGGATGGCAAGTTCTTGTCTCTTCTTCTTCCTTTGCTACACGCACTCTTTCTCTTTGCTGTAGGTGAATACAAGCAGCAACATTATTGAAAACCTGGTTCCTGGCGCCCAGTACCAAGTTGTGATTTATTTGCGGAAAGGACCGCTGGTTGGGCCCCCTTCCGACCCTGTTACATTTGCCATCGGTAACCCTCTTACGCATATTCCAACTGCTGCTGTGAACTGAATGCAGGACCACACGCTGGGTTAATATTCTCTGCCTGAGCAGTGTACTGACAGCCTGCTTGTAATATGGCCTCTTTCTATACTGGAGGAAAGGTGGTAGTCTGTGTGCAACTGATGATAATAATGCGGGAAATTATTGCTTAGATTAGGGGTACAACCAGTGTCCCCTCTAAGCTGAGTTAGTGTGAACTAGCTCACAGTTTTTTAGCCTCCGGCTCACACATTTTTGTCTTAGTTCAGGAAGGATGGCAGCAGAGCAAACTAAATTACGCAGTAGCCAAATCGCTCACTCACAGCTTTAATGCCAGTAACTCACAAATTAGAATTTTTGCTCACAAGACTCCACAGCTTAGAGGGAGCAATGGGTACAACAGTCTCTATTTTTGGAGGGGAGAACTTTATTGCCACTAGAGAGCACACTGATGTCCTACATGTTCTCAGCCCCTGTGTAGTTGTTGAGTCTCCCACTTAATTTTTTCCTTCTAGATCCATGAGGGGTAGAAAATTATTTTACAAATAAAATATGAGAGCAGATTCGTCTGTCATTTCTCTGTTGGCACAATGAACCCACAGATGTTTGGAATATAAGTAGCCCTGGATGTGTGGCATACCAATGGCAGAGTATGTGCTCAAATTTTCGAAATAATTCAGCTTGCAGTTGGCCGTGCCTGCCCTCTGGTTTAAGGCAAGACAAGGGGTGGCTGGGCATATGATACCTCCTTCCAAGTTAATGGACAGTCCTTTGCAAATGCTATTGCTCTGGGTCAGTGCAGACTCTGACATCGCAGTGGTGCTTGTCCCCCCAGTGCAAATGGCAGAGGTCAGTTGTACGTTTAGAGGGCGCAATTCATCTGCAGTTTTGTGCTGCTGCTGGGACAAATTTAGACGGTCCCAAGATAGACTCGCGAGACAAATTGCAAAAGAGCTCCAGCTTGCTTTGCAAGATTCCATCTGGTATTCATATGCTCTAGGGGATTGGAGCATTTAAATAAGGCTCAGAGCATCAGATCCTGCCAGACATTTTTATGTCATCGTGCATTTCTTTGCCTGCCTGGCCTCCTTCCTCAAGGATAGGAAAAGGGGCTAAACTCCCAACCTGCTGGAAACCACACGTTTTCCTTCAGTAGGTCTGTCCTTCTGTCCTTTAGAACTTCTTGCATCTAACAGGCAATGAACGCAGTTGTGAAAATTGCAAACTATTGCTCTGAATGCAGAGCATTGAACATAGAAAATGGCCTTATATTGCACGGGTCCATCTAAATTCATATTGTCTGCTCTGATTGCTTGTGGCTCTCCAGGATCTAAGGCAGAGCAAAACCTTACCCAGTAATTGCTGCTCAGGATATTTAGCTGGAGATGCTGGGGACTGAACCCGGGATAGGCTGTTTATTTACCAGGTGAAGAAGAAGAGATTGGATTTATATACTACCCTTTACTACCTGAAAGAGTCTCAGAGCAGCTTACATTCCCTGTCCCTTCCCCTCCCCACAACAGGGGGGCTGAGAGAGCTCTTTCAAGGACTGCTCGTGAGAGAACAGCTCTGAAAGAACTTGTAACTGACCCAAGGTCACACCAGCAGCTGCATGTGGAGGAGTAGGGAATCAAACCAGGTTCTCCCAGGTTAGAGTCTGCGCTCCTAACCACGACACCAAACTGGAGTCCTGCTCCCTCCAATCATTGTTCTGGCAAACGGAGGGTGGGGAATGAGGGGGCCAGAATGGTGTTCCACAGCAACAGGACCTAATTTCGTGCTGTGTAACTGGAAGTGATGTCATCATGTTGGTGCACGCTCTTGCGTTCACTTGGAATTCTATGATTTCACCATAGAGTTTGGGGTTAATGCTAGAGCATCCGGAGACACAGTGATATCACTTCTAGTTACATTGCTGGAAATGATGTCATGACATTGTGGGATGCTGTTATGGTGACTCTAAGTACCCTAACCTGGGACCTTCAGTGTTTGCTTTACCTCTAAGCCCTTGCCCTGCATCAGATTTTACAGGGACATTTGCATTCTGTGTAAGTAGGCCCTTTCTGTTTATTAATGGCTTCCCATTTCTGGTTTATAGTGCCCACTGGGATCAAGGACCTAACTCTTTATCCTTTGGGGCCCTCCGCTGTGGTCCTCAGCTGGAACAGGCCATATCTCGGTGTCTTCCGGAAGTACATCGTAGAAATGTTTTATTTCAACCCTTCAACGATGACCTCAGAGTGGATGACGTACTATGAAATAGCAGCCACCGTCTCTCTAACCTCGTCAGTGGTAAAGTGTCCATCTTACTGTTTGTTAGGTAAAGATAAGGGTAAAGGTTTCCCTTGCTCAAAAGCCAGTCGAATTCTACTCTAGGGCTGCAGTGCTCATCTCCATTTCCAAGCTGAAGAGCCAGCGCTGTCCTAAGACATTTCCGTGGTCATGTAGCCAGCATGACTAGACGCCGAGGTGCACAGAACGCTGTTACCTTCCCGCCAAAGTGGTACCTATTTCTCTACTTGCAATTTCTTGCTTTCGAACTGCTAGGTTGGCAGGAGCTGGGACCAGAGATGGGAGCTCACTCCATCATGCGGCAACTCGGGTCTCGAACGGCTGAACTACCGGCCTTCCAGTCTGCAGTTCAGCGTCTTAACCACTTGAGCCACCGCAGCCCTTCTACTGTTTGTTACAAGCCCTTTAATATCCAGAACTTTCTTATGGAAATGTAGGAAGAAGCATTTAAAAAAACAAAAACAAAGCAGAAGTCTTTCCAATGCGTCTCCATATCCGAAATCCAACTTGTTCAGAAGAACAGCAAAAAACAGGCTTCTCTGTGACCTGTGCTTTTTGAGGGAAAGTGTCACCTCTAAGAACTAGCCTTGAGTCCAATAGCACCATAGAGATCAACAGGATTTTGGAGGTACGAGCTTCTGAGAGTTAAAGCTCCCTTCACCTATAAGGTGCTACTGGACTTGACTGTAGCTCTTCTACTGCAGACCAGCACGGGTACCCTCTGAAATGGTTATCTCTAAGAAAGCTATTGCTGATCAAGTTCTGTTTCACCTTCTGTCTAGTGGCACCACAAGAGGAGGCAGCTATCTGAGTGTCCCCCCTCTATGCCTACCCTCTTATCACCCCTGAGTCAAGGGGTGCCAGACCCCCCCCCGGTGGAGGTGGGGTTCCCTACCACCAGGGCCCATAACCCTGCTGCCGATCAGCTGGCCGGCGGGGGGGGAACTTCCTTGGAAGAAGAGCGAGGCCCAGTCAACATTGCAGCAACACGTCAACATCACTTCTGATGTGACCCGGAAGTGATGTCATCTGATCGGTGACATCGAGGCAACACTCTGGTATTTGGGCAAAAACTTTACGGTTGAAGCCAAATTTACCAGAGTTTTTTTGCCCAAATACCAAAACGTTACCCTGCCGTTGCTGTGTGATGATGTCATAGGGCTGCCAATTCCCCCTGGGTGGCGGATTTCCCCCCGCTTTGGAGGCCCGATTTCCGCCGCCACGGAATCGGGCCCCGGGGGAACCCCCACCCCGCCGTGCACGTCAGCTGGAGGTGACGTGATGACGCCGGGCACGCTGGGGGCGGGGCCACAGCCATCTGAGGGGAAAACTCTATGTTTT